CATCTGACTTTATAAGGGTTCTGGGGAGAGAACTCAGTCCCCACACTTGTACAGCAAGCACCTTACCCACAGAGCCATTTCTTTAGCCCTGCTTCTGTTTTCTGAACATTATTCTGCCAAAGATGTGTGTGAGTCATTGTGTAATGGTTCTTGTCTCTTTATTGTGTTGATGGAAGAACAAAAGCAGAAGTGCTTTATGCAGAGAAGCAGATAAGATATGAAGGCATTTGAAAACCCAGAGTGCAGTGCTGTCTGGGTATAATACCAGCCTATCAGTAATCCAGTTAAGACGGTTTACCTGCTCTACGTGAGAGGGTTCAGTTTGCTGATCTTCATTCAAGTTCATACTCACGCTGTTTAAATGTGGGCTCCACGCTGCACCACAGACGAAAGCACTATAGATTTTTCCCCCAAATGTAATACACAAGTCTAAATTGATTGCAGCCAAACATAAATTTAGTCAAATCTTTAATGCACTCCATTAAGCCATGAATAAGACTTTAAAGCATTGTGTTAGCTATAGAGTAGCTGGGACTGGAGTTGAAACAATTTCAAACAGCCAGAATAGAAAGTTACCTCTGGACATGGTCTGGTATTTATTCTCAACAGTGTATCGTGGAAGAGAACGAGTTTTTTTTCTAAATGTAACAATGAGCAATTACCTGTCATTGTGAAGTGACAGATTTTACACAAAGGGGCTGGTTGGCGTCTTGTTCTAGAAAGGCTAACTCAACTCTCATAATTCCCATGGGCACATGCCTCAGACTGCCAATGGTGGCACCTGTAGGCCAAACACTCCATTTTCTCATAACAAAATTATCTTTTGAAACAGACAAAGTGGCAGCCATTTTTCTCACCTCCAGTTGAGGTGAGGGAAGGGTATGCCAAAAGCTCTGCCAGACAGTCAGCGTGATTTATGAGATCCAGAGAGACAGAGCGTGGGATGAGACATGCAGAGGACATTTCTGTACTTCCAGAATAATGTAGACTTTGAACAATTTGACCGTCACGTTTACCGGGAGTTTCTAGGGAGAGGCTGGCAAAGCAGAGTCTACACTATAGTCAGGGGTACAGAGTCAGAAATCCAGTCGGACACAGCAGGGCTGGGTACTGTTGCAAATGCAGGCTGCTTGAGAGGCTCCTTGGGAATGACTGTACCTATCTGCGAATTTAGCATGGGGATTTAGCATGGGGGTGGGGAGGATTAAAAAGTAGCCAACCAATAATTTTTATAATGATTTTCATAATGATTCTCTATTTCACTTGCACACTAATCCAGCTGTGTGTGTGTGGAGTCATGCAGCAAAAATTGTCACTGATACCTGTCTTTTTTTTTTTTTTTTAACTTTCAATGTGATTGAGAAATTTAAATTAAATATACAGCTTCTGTCATTTCAGTGGCTAGGATCACGTTAAACATGGGCTGTGGCTAACGACTACATTCATTCTTGCCTGTCAAAACTTTGTTTTTCCATTTTTATGCCTGTGGGGGGTCTTGTGCATATATATGCATGCGTGCTTGTGTATGTACGTTGGCACCTATGTGGGGACATTATGTGTTAGCATGTGGAGGCCCAAATTTGGTGCCTAGGACCGTCCTTGTTAACCTTCACCTTACTCACTGAGCAAGGCCTCTCAGTCAAACCCAGAGCTCACTGATGTTGCTCTGGGAATCCCTGTATCCACATGCCAAGGCTGATCTTACAGGGTCTCCTCACGTCCATCCAGTGCTCACATGGCCGCCAGAGACCTGAACGCTTCCACGGCAAGTGCTTTTAACAACTGAGCCATTTCTGTAGCCAGGTTGCCCGTGTTTCTTCATCAAGCTGAAAACAGGAGAAATCGACAGAATTGCGTCTTGAGAGGAAAAAGAAGCCTGTATCACGGGTTTTGTAAATAGGCAGGTTTCTCATGTGTTAGGTGAAGATGCTAATTGCTTCAACGTCTTTGGGTTATCAGGAGATGAAATTTCACATGGGAAGGAACAGAAATTGGAGTAGAGGAAGCTAGTTCTGCAACTCTTTGTTGTCCCTGGTTCTGTTGTAAACCTGTTAGAACCGTCCATTTCTATTCAGACTGTATGTCTCTCTTCTTCCAAGTTCATACTTGCTGTCCTACCTGCCTATCTCTACAGCCAGAATTCCTGGCTTCCTCGTCGGCTCCTTATCATTGAGGACTTCTGAACCGTCTTCCCATTTGCTGCTCCTCATTTAGATGGACTCATCCCATTTGCTATTTCATTTCAGTTTCACAGCCAGCCCCAGATCACAGATTGCCCCAACCTTTTTCCTCTGCCTGGACCCTGGATTTCTTTCTCCTCCTGCTGCTCTTTCTCTTTCTTCCCTTAATCCTTTCTTTTCTTCCCTTTTGAAACTAGAATCTCCTTCTTTCCATGGGATGAGCAATGTGGGATGATTGAGGCTGAGCAAGTGCATTCAAGAAGCCAATGGAAGGTTGTGTAAGCAGGAGATGAAGAGAATGGGAGGAATGCAATGCAAAAGGAAACATGACGCTTCTACTCTTCCCCAACATTCTCTTCTTTCCCCCAAATCTCTCCCCTCCACCCTAACGTTTCTTCCCCCTTCTTCACAACATCTCTGCCCTTCTCCCCCAAATCTACCTCCTGCACACTAATGCTTCCCCATCCTCCCCAACATATCTCCCCCAAACCTGCCCCTTCCCCCTTAATGTTTTCCCCCTCCCCCTAACATCTCTCCTGCCCTCTCTCACCACCTTTGCTGGCTGGCTCTCAAAGCTGCGCCATGTTTGGTCTGTGGGCGGTACAGGGAGCAGCTAGTAAGCTTTCTAGATTCTGAAAGAGCAACCTCCCACAGAGTCGCATGGCACACACACAAAGCTGTGCACTCGGTTCCCATATCCTAACAAATGCATTCTCCAATGATGGTTGGACTTGTTCTGAAAAACCCAGTGACGGTGGAACAAAAGCAACCTGTGAAGCTTGTGAAGACTGCAGCTCCCCACATACGCAGGCATCTGTTCTCCTTCATAATCAATACTGAGCTACTCACTCAGAGCTGTAGAAACTGCAGAACAAATCCAGCGCGGGGGGCTGGGAGCCCCTCAAAGTCCCAGTTCCCAGTGCAGCTGGTTTTTTTTTTTTTTAAATCAGAAAAGTTTTGGTTGCTTTTATCTAGCAGTGGTAACATGGTGATTTGGAATCTGCTCTTGACTTGAGAGAGTTTATTTATTTATTTATTTATTTATTTATTTATTTAGCCTTTTCAGTGGATCAATATGTTATTTTGCCTATTTTAGTCTTAGATTTACTGACTGTTCTCAGGGAAGCAAATTCAAAGGGAAGAAATAAGCAGATTGGTTTGTATTTCAAAGCCCTGGCTGAGGCCTGATGGACAGAATCCTTGGAAACTCACAAAGGACTAGAGTTTCCCAGGCCCTCCCTCCTGGCAGATGGATTTTCTTCTGTTTGGAGGCAGCCGAGTTATGTACTGTCGAAGGCTAACCCTGAGCTCATGAACATGCCTGTTTGCCCTGGATTATTAATTAATGAACTATTTACCATCTATCAAAATCAGGAAGCTGTGATTACTTATTACATCCTTGTCGTTTCCTAGGAAATTGGGTTCAGAGTGGAAAGAAGTAGTTATTAAATGCAAAACGATAACATTATTTGTGTTTAATTATGTGTGTGTGCCGAGGGGTGTGTGCATGAATGCAGACGCGGAGGCAGCCAGAAGCCGTCAGGTCCCCCAGCAGCTGGGGTAACCGGCCCCTGCGTGTCACCTGGCATGAGTGCTGGGAACAGAACTCAACTTCTGAGCCATCTCTCCAGTCTCATCAAATCCTTTTAAGATACCATCTCATGAAAACTTTTGTTCTGAGTGCTCAGTTCCCCAGGAAAAGAGAATGTGACATCTTGAGGCTCCTCCAGGCTTATTTTCTCCTTCTGTCACTGAAGTCTCATTATCCTGTGATTTTGGGTGTCTGTCAGACTGTAGATGTGGCTGTGATCATGTGACCCAGAATGCAAGCATGAGGCATACAAGGGAGTGCCCAGAGAGCCAACCCCCTGCTCTCAGGGCAGTGGGTGGGCCGGGCCATACCTCCTCTGCAGAGCCTGACCATTCCTGGCCGTCCATACTGCAGCTCAGTGCTACAAAGGTGGAGAGAGGGAGTGCTTCTGTCTGTACACGAAATGAGTTTCAGAGATTTTGGTGTTTGGGAACAACCTGGTTTCCCAGGTGAAGGTGGAAGGGGCATTGCTTCCGAAAGTGTTTGAAAAGAAGTAGAGACTCTGATATAGATATATATATCTTCATCTACTTTGCCCCCCCACCACATGCATTGTGATTTCAGTTTGTCAGATTGTAGAAGCAGCTGTGATTATGTAAGCCAGAATGCAAGCATGGGGCATCCGAATAGCTGTCCATATAGCTAATCAATGCCTCATGTACTCTTCTCTATAATAATCTGTCCCCAATTTTGCTCCTCCTGAAACTGGATGCAAAATCACTGTCACAAAATGTATTTGTCTAACCAAAGGGAAACGAGTTTCATTTGACTTAAACATATCACTGAGTCTTCACTGGGTCTTCTTAGTCCAGCCAATGTTTACAAAGCAAACACCCTTTCATGTAACATGGCGATAGCTTACGGACCCATCTAGAAACAAAAAGACAAAACCAGGTTTATGGCCAATATGAGATATTTTCTGGATACACGCACAACAATGGAAACATTTTGAAAATTAACAGGCATCCACAGGTATAAATACACTGTCGAAAGCATTTAACGCTGTTTAACATAGCCAAGTCCCCTGAGCTGGAAGCAGCATTAAATTCTCCTTTGCCCATGGCAAAAAGAAGCCGTCAAGCACAGCACTGAAAAATTGGTACTGCTTCCTGGCCAGTAAGCAACAGAACCAAGGGGCTGAATATTTTATGGGTTTTTATTTATTTGTTTTTGTTCTCATGCTGTTTTTCTCACCCGCCTCTTTTTCTCTCCTGTTCTTGCCTTCCCAGGACTGATTGTGGTGACCCTGGCCATGTGTTGGATGCCAAATCAGATTCGACGGATCATGGCTGCAGCAAAACCCAAACATGACTGGACCAAGTCGTACTTCAAGGCATACATGATCCTTCTCCCCTTCTCGGACACCTTCTTCTACCTCAGCTCTGTGGTCAACCCTCTCCTGTACAACGTGTCCTCTCAGCAGTTCCGGAGAGTGTTCTGGCAGGTGCTGCGCTGCCGGCTGACTCTGCAGCATGCCAACCAGGAGAAATGCCAGCGGGCCCACTTCAGTTCCGCAAAGGACAGCACCCGCTCCGCCCGCAGCCCCCTCATTTTCCTAGCCTCCCGGTGCAGTAACGCTTCCTCCAGGACAACTAGCAAGGTTTTCTTAAGCACTTTTCAGGCTGAGGCCAAGCCCAGAGAGGCTAAGCCCCAGCCCTTGAGTTCTGAGTCACCACCAACTGAGTCACAGGTCAAACCAGCTGATGCCACCACAGAAAATGGTTTACAGGAGCAGGACGTGTGAAAGTCAGGTTCAGAAGCCTTGAGCAAAAACTGGCTCTTCCCCACCACAAAAGTAAAGTCACCTTCACACACCAGTTCCTGAATAGACCATGACTCCTTCAGGGCAGAATGGAAGCTTGAGGCTTTGGGAAGTGCAGTTGCATATCTCCGTGACTTCTAAAGGTTGGTTCTTCCAAGTTGGCCTTGGCGGTGGTTACACTGATTGTGATAGGAAGGTCTGGACTTTCTGCTCCATGCTCCTTTTTCAGCTACACACAGAAATTCAGAGTGAATTGGTTCAGAGCTTACAAAAGTATTTGACTATGACAATCTTCTTGCATTACTTGAAAGAGAACAAAAAGCCTCCCTTGTCTAACCAGAATAAAAGGACAGCCAGAAGAGAGCAGGGAGGTGAGAGAGGGAGGCCAGACAGACGATGAAGCAGGGTGGCATCTCCTTTAGCTTCAGCAGTGTGCCAGGCAGAGGGCTACATTGAAGAGCAGGGCAGTGGTGAGGAGCCCTGGCCTGATGGCCGAGGCAGAGCTTCCTCTTTTCTTGGGCCTCGGCCCGTTGCAGAGAGGGGTGTTGCAGCAGCTGATGCACACAGAGTTCAGTTTCCCGGGGGAACAGAAGGACTGGTACCCAGCTGAGGCAATGAGACAGGCTGCTGACGATGCACATGACTTCCGGTACATGATCCCTGCAACACAGGCCCAGGGAAGTGGGGTTAGCATGTGCCATCTGCAGCCCAGCCATCTCTCTGTGTCCAAATCTGAGTGCATAGCTCTCCTTTTAACGCCTCCCTCAGAAAGGGTTTTTGTCCCCTGAGCTGGGAGATGGCTCAGGGGGTAAGAACTCTCAGACTACTGGAACCTTAGATTTCTTTTGGGTGATGGCATGGAGGTCATGGTGAATGTTGTTCCAACAGTGATTTCAGTTGTTGATATCCACAAATAAAGAGCTATTAAAATCAGAGTTTCTCTCTCTTTCTTTCTATGTGTGTCTGCTCATGTACATGTTGCTAGTGTGTACGATGTATGTGTGTATATGTTAGTGTGTACATCGGAGTGCAATATCCTCAGACTCTAGCAGAGAGCATTGGGTTCCCTTGGAATAGGAGTTACAGACGGTTGTGAATTGCCTTATGGAGGTGGTGGGAGCTAAGCTCAATTCCTCTGCATACTCGTAAACATCTCTCCTGCCCCTATACCCGGCTTTTGTATATGGCTTCTGGGGACCAAACCCAGGTCTGCATGCTTGCATGGTGAGTGCTTTACTGACTGAGCCGTGTCCCCAGCAACAAGGTCTATTGTTAATCAGCTCCTACTTTATACTAGATGACAAGGTTTTTCTTTCCTCTGTGAGTGTTCACACCATCTCATGCTAAGACCACTTGCCTCATATCCAGATACTATCCTTTTATTAACTAATAAGTGGCCATAGAGATGACCTCCAATCAAGAGTTTCTTAGATCCACAGAGCAAATCGCAAAGGGAGTAATTCCAGTCTCTATTGTAGGGACCCTATTGTAGGGGTGCACTAAGGTTAAAGAGCAAGTAGAGGCATTGATAGTATATTCAAGACAGCCCTGTTCCTTGGGGAGAGCCCTGTTCTCTGGACAGCCCTGTTCTCGGGGAGAGTCCTGTTCTCAGGGAGAGCCCTGCTCTCAGAGAGAGCCCTGTTCTCAGGGAGAGCCCTGTTCTCGGGGAGAGTCCTGTTCTCAGGGAGAGCCCTGTTCTCAGGGAGAGCCCTGTTCTCGGAGAGCCCTGTTCTCTGGGACGCAATTTTGCTCCCAGGACAAGTTGTCATCAAAGAGCTGGTTCTTGATGACAGGCCCTGTGAGCACAGGAAGTATCCCCAGGGGCTGGGAGATGGCTAAGTGGGCAAAGTGCTTGCCATGCAAGCGTGAGGACCTGAGGTAAGATCCCCAGAACTCACGTGTAAAATCTAGGTACAGTAACACAGCCCTATAATTCCAAGTAGAAGCAGGGGGATGCTGCCTCCTGAGCTTACTGCCCAGCTGGCTTAACTGAATCTGGGTTCAGAGAGAGACCCCAACTCAAAGACTAACATGGAGAAGTAGTTGAGGAAGACATCTGATATTGACCCCTGGCTTCCCCACACAGGCACACACACCACACACATGCACCTGTACATACAAAGAGCCTTCCTGGATGTCAGACATTGTATAGGTGGCTGCCATGTGCCAGCTCATTTAGTTCCATTCCTAAATTTAGATATAGTGTGCTCTGGAAAGGCCTGTGCAGAAAAAGCATGGTCTCTAGCATCATTCTACTGGGAGGTGGGGCACAGGGGGAGGTCTCAGGTCACACAGCATGTATGCTCTTAAAGATGATAGGTGTACTCCTGTCTCTCTCTCCTCCTGGCTATGGGATAAGGGACCCTATTTTTTCACATGCATCTGTCACTGCTGCTGAATTGCCATAGGCCCCTGACCATGGATTGAGTTTCCATCTCCCATCTCTCCCTCTCTGTCTCTGTCTCTCTCTGTGTATGTGGTGTGTGTATGTGTGTGTGTGTGTGTGTGTGTGTGTGTGTGTGTGTGTGTGTGCCTGTGGAGGTCAGAGGGCAACCTCAGATATTGTTCCTTGGGAACCACCCATCTTGATTTTTGAGCAAAGTCTCTCACTGATCTGATACACTCCAATTAGGCCAGCCTGAGTGGCTAATGATCCCAGAGGATCTGGAATCATAAGCATGTACCACCACATATGGATTTGTTCAAAGCATGTGTTCTGGAGAGCAAACTCAAGCCCGCATGCTTGCATAATGTGCGCTTTGCTGACTGAGAGGTCTAAACAACCTCTGAAAAACTGTTAACCAAAACAAGCCCTTCTTCTTCCTACATTGGTTATTTTGAGCATTTTGCTGCAGTGATGACAAGCTGACTAGCATTGCTGGAAAGGACCAGGATAAAGGGCTACATGACCTTCCTTGTTGTATAGCTCCAGATACTGGGGGATGGTAACTGAGGCTTAGTAACCAGGCCCCATCATCAGACACTCTCCTGTCGTCTGCAATACAACAGATCATGATAACACCTGTAGTTTGAATGAGAAATGCCCTTCAAGGGCTATGTGTCTGAACACTTAGTCTCTGGGTAGTGGCACTGTTGGGGAGGGTTATAGAGGCTTTAGAAGGTGGTTGGAGGAAATGGATCATTGGAGATCAGCCATGGTGCTTGATAGCCCAGTCCCACTCCTTGTCTGCGTGCTGCTTCCTGACTGCAGGTGCGTATACTCTTGCTGTCTCCATGCCTGCTCCCCATGGTAGACTGTATCCTTCTTAAACTTTAGCTGCAACCAGCCTAGTGTCCCAGCACAGCTAGGAATGTGGCCCAACGCATCTGTGGATGGCAAGGTCATATCACAATGTCAAATGCTGGACACTCTTATGTGTGAGCCAAAATAAACCTTTCCCTCAGTTGCTTTGTGTCAGGTATCTGGCACAGCAGTGAGCATAATAACATATTCCATATATACCTAGCCATGTAGATGGAAGAGTTTGAAAGAGTGTTGACTTGGACATTGAGCTTTGGTGTGTGTGTGTGATCATTTTTAGATAAACAAATGGCTTTGATTTGGGGTGGATGAGACAGAGTACCGACACTGGACTCAGCAATGGCCTCAAGTCTGCATGCTGCTCTTCGCAGCTGAGCGATATAACACATCCCACCAGCAGCCAGGGACCTTTATCCAGTAATTGCCTGCAGGTGTCTGGGCAAATGCAGTTTAGGTTTGCACTCCTCCTCCAGGAGAATTGCCAGTTTGGGCATGTGGAAATAGTAAAGATTCAAACTGCCCAAAACTCTCAAAGGGAGGTAAAGAAGTACTTTCAGTTTTCTTTAAAACATGCAATTTCATGTTATTTTTTTTGCTGTAACTACATGCTTGTAAGGATTGATTTTCTGGTACTGGTCGACAATCCTGGAAGGTAGCTGCTCTGTAAATACAAGGAGAGTATGTGGATGCTCATATGTGGGAGGCATTGTTTCACTTCCCAGGAATCCTCTAAAGCTTCCATCCAATCTACCTGTTAGAAAAATTAAGTTTCACACAATATATTCCAAGTATTGAATTTTTAAAATACTGTCATTCATCAATCCAGCTACTTAAAGGGAAAAAGCTCATCATAGTTGAATTGGTAAATGATTTGTGTGTATCTCTCTCTCTCTCTCTCTCTCTCTCTCTCTCTCTCTCTCTCTCACACACACACACACACACACACACACACACACACACACAATGAAGTTATGTCTGTTGGGCTGACAAACCTTTCTCCGCAAGAGCCATAGAGCATCTAACAAACACCTCCACATCAGACATTAGGAACCTCCTTTTGAGTTGTTGGTCAAGGAAATCCAAGAGGTTTCCAAAACAATATATGCTCTTACTGTTGCCCCTGGTTGCCTCCAAGAAGTTGAAGGTGAGTCCTTGTTACTGAGGACGCTATGTACTTCCGACTCGAGACTCAGAGGATTCTAGGTGGAGTTACCCTGAAAGTCTCCTTTCTAAAGAGTACTTTTCATAGTAGAACAGTGGTTCTCAACCTTCTTAATGTTGCGACTTCTTAATAAACCTCCTCTTGTTGTGGTGACCCCAACCGTAAATTCTTCTTGTTGCTACTTCATAACTGTAATTTTGCTACTGTTATGAATCATAATATAAATATCTGATATGCAGAGGGTTTTGGCAGCCACTGCAAAAAGGTTGTTCAATCCCCAAGGGGTCATGACACACTGGTTGAGAACCACTGTTGTAGAAGCTGCGTAATGCAAACTCCCTAAGGAGAAAGGCAAACAATAGTCTTACTCAGTTGCAAAGTCTGTGAACCACAACTAGCATGTCAAAATATTCCTAACTGTGCAATTGTGACATGCATATTTGGCAGTAACCAACAACGGCCTAGGACTAGCTAGTGAGGGCATGGGTCTTAGAGGCAACCTCATATTGTCACTTTACTGGAATAGCATAACTCCTAATATTTATTCATTTAATCCCAGATAAGTCTAGCTCTCATCCTTCATCAAAGAAGCTTCTCTTTGCATCACAGAAAACTACAACTGGTCAAAATATAGAGAACAGTTGTTCATGGGGTTCTAGCTTTAGCAGAGGTTTTTCCTCTAGGGAAAGGGCAGAAAGATTTTAAGAGCTAGAGGACCAGGAAATCTACTGCCAGTTTGTATCTCCAAGAAAAGACAAGAAGCCTCCTCCTGTGATACTGAAACAACATGGCCGCCTGAACAAGACCTGAACAATGACAATACCAATACAGAGGCTAATGTGGAAAAGGGAAGTCTCATAGGGCTCCACAAAAAGACAAAGAGGCACTAGACACCAGTGATGGCTAAGAGAAGGAGAGTTAGTCTTCAGGGATGAGTCCCTCAATTGGGTATCCAATACCATGATATATGCAATACCAAGTAGACTCAGCAGTTTGTGTGTGCGCATGCGCGTGTGCATGTAGCAACAATAATCAAAGAAAAAGAGGCCATACATTTGAGAGGGAACCTGGGGTGGAGGTGGGAGGAGTTATATGGAATAAATATGGGAGGGGGCTGAGGGAGAAATGGGAAGAAAAATGTAACATTTTAATTAAAGTCCTAAACATATGTGGCGTGTGTGTTGTGAAAAAAAAGTCAACTTCCAAAGGAGGGAGGCAACCAGAAGTCCTACTCAGCTGTGATCCCCATGAAACACATCAAAGACCAGCACAGCATGGTAACCCTGAGGACCAACAGTGGCACAGATGTCGTGGTGATGGCCAGTGGCTCTGTAATTGGCCTTATGACCCACTCAGCAAGAGAAAGAGCATGATTGGTATTGAAAACCTAACCAAGTACTTAGTGCTAATGAAGACACAGTTATTGGAGGAGAATCTCCAACCACTAATTTACTAAGCCAGCACAATCTCTGACAGCAATCTATAAACATCTGTCTTTATACCCACAGA